TCTCTCTCTCTCTCTCTCTCTCTCTCTCTCTCTCTCTCTCTCTCTCTCTCTCCCTCCTTCTGGCTAGAGCATAGTTTCAACCAATTGTCTTATAATATCCAAGGCCACTTACCCAGGGGTAACAGCCCACAGTGGACTAGACCCTCTTCCATCACTTAGCAATCAAGAAAACATCCCACAGACATACTCACAGGCTACTCTGATGGAGGAAATTACTCGATTGAGGTTTCCTCTTCCCAAGTGTGTCAAGGTGACAATTAAAATCGGCCATCACACTTGCCAAGTACATAACCATCAACCACAAATGTTAGGTAAAACAAAATTGGTGGGGTTTGTTAAAGAGGAACCCCAGAGATTAAGGATACTTGTGGTCTCTCAGAAGACCCCAGTTCGATTCCCAGTACCCACATGGTGGCTCTAAATTGTCTGTAACTCTACTTTCAGGGTATCCAATGCCACATTTGACCTCCTCAGTCACTTGGTACACAAACATAGGTTCAGGCAAAACACCCATATACATACAACAAAAATTATAAAAATAAAATAACCAAGCTCAGTTCTTATTAGATTCAGTAGGTAACATTTATAGCGTGAATTATAAAAGACAAAAAAAAATCAGGCAATTAACTTTTTTTTTAATCAGCATCATACCAAACTGACAATTTTGCAAAATAAATTCTATGAATTGATTTGGTTACCTACTAATCCACTGAGTCACAGACCCTTCAGGTGTCTAGTGTTACAAGGATGGAAAACTGAACATGTGATAGATAAGTACATCAGACTATGGCTTAGCTGTCTAGCAGCCGTGGAATCCTTATAAGAAAAAGGTATGAAAAGTTGCTCGGCAAAAGTAAGGAACTGATCTACCTCCCCTCTATCCACACAAGCTGAAGAAACTACAAGCCCATGTTGATGATGACATAAGAATCAATGAAGAGGTGAACCGACAGAGGCTGTGCTATTCAAGCCATTGATTTAGACTGGATAAATAACCCGTGTGCGTTAAAATGTGGATGATTTCATTTTTCTTTGATTTTTCTCTTCTTTTCATAGGAGGCCTGGTGAACCTCCCTTGATAAAAGGTTGGCTTCCTTATCTTGGCATTACCCTGAAGATCAAAAAAAACCCAGTAGCTTTCATGAAAACTCTTCGAAGGAAATATGGTGATACTTTCACTGTGCTGCTTTCAGGTAAGATGCTCTGCTCAAGGACTTTGCATGTGGCATAATCTCTTGCTGGCTCTTTAATGTCTTCATATTTGTTCATGGGCAAAATGTGGAACACTCATCTAGCACCACAGAGCAATTGCAAAAGAATGGCATGTGTTAGTCCAGTGAGTGATCTTATATAAAGCCTGGTTACAGGACCCTCTCCCACCTCCTAAAGACATCATTCTCCTGTCGTCACTTGCCAGTTTGTTTTGGGTTGACTTGGTTGTTTTGAGAAGAAAAGAGCTAGGATGCATTTTGAATGAATGATTTCTTTATAGAGCAGTTTTAGGAGTATAAGGAAGTTCAGCAGATAGTTCGGAGAGTACGCATATACACTCTCCCTTGGTCACAGGTTTCCAGCTAATAATGTCTCATCTCAGTATGGCACATTCATTCCAACTGATGTGCTGATGTTGGTACATTTTTAAGCCCCCTTATTTGCTTTCCAGTCTACTTTTTGTGTTATTCTTTGGCTTTTCATAGATGCATAATGTCATATACACACCATTACAGTACCATAAAGAATGGTTTCACAACTCTAAAAATCTGAATTCTCCACATAATCTTCCCCTTCTTTGCCAACACTGGTCTGGAGTACACTTCTGCATTTAAACTGTTCAGTGTAAATCAAATTTTCAAAATGCTTTAAAAACAAAACACATACTGTTGTTAGAGGTTTTTGCTCTTTTGGGGGGCCCACCACCCAGCTCCCAAATGAGTCACACAAAGGCTTATTCATAATTATAAATGCCTGGCCTTAGCTTGGCTTGTTTCTAGCCAGCTTTCCTTAACTTAAATTATCTCATCTATCTTTTGCCTCTGGGATTTTATCTTTCACTATTTCTGTATACATCTCATTGTTTCTTACTCTGTGGCTTGCCTTGTAGCTGGGTGGCTAACCCCTGATGTCCTCTTCCTTTTCTGGCTCCTTCTACTCCTCTCTTCTCCCAGATTTCTCCTTCTATTTATCCTCACTGCCTGCCAGTCCTGTCTATCCTTTCTCCTACCTTGCCATTGGCTGTTCAGTTCTTTATTAGACCACCAGGTGTTTTGGATAGCCACGGTAACACAGCTTCACAGAGAAGCAAATGCAACATAAACAAAAGTAACACATTTTAAAATGATATTCCCCAACAACATACCTGTCCCCATGACTCTCCTTGTTACATCACAAGTCCTTTATCTCATGCCTTTGTTTCTTCACTTTGGGATTTTGCGCTTAGCTTAGAGCCATATTATATGTCTCCTGCTTTCATTTTATTTTCAATATTCTCTCTCTCCTTTCTTCTTTCCATCTCTCCCTCCCCCTCCTTCTTTCCCTCCCTTATTCCTTCCTTTATACCCTACTTCTTTCCTACCCTGCCTCTCCTTGTTCTTCTCCCCTCCCTCCTTGTATCCCTCCTTACATCCTTCTATCTATATTTCTATATCCATCTCTATCTCTATCTCCTAGATATTTTTAGAAAGTGACTTGCATTTGCTATTTTGAGTAACTTATCTTCTAGAGTTTCCCTAATGGTACTCTTACTCATGGTCAAAGTTAAGTTAGCCTAACTAGCTCTTCTTAGTGCCCTTAATGATCTCCTCCTCCTCCTCCTTCTTCTTCTTCTTTTTTTTTTTTTTTTTGAAATGGGGTTTCTCTATGTAGTTTTGGTGTCTCACTCTGGATCTCAATCTGTAGATCAGGCTGGCTTTAAACTCACAGAGATCCGCCAGGCTCTGCCTCCGGAGTGCTGGGATTAAAGGTGTGCACCACTGCCGCCTGGCCTGAAATATTCAGTTGCTTCCAACTGTCTTGAAACTTCAACTTACTCTATTGACTCTGATTGTCCTTATTGTACCTTATGTATACACATCTTTCTACCATTATATTTTCCCCTGTAGTCTCTCTATTCTACTCCTAAGGAACTAGTTCTATCCTCTGCCTGTAATGACTTTGCTGAAGATCAGACATAACTGTACATACTGACTACCATGTAAATGTACCATTTGAGTAATTAAAGGATGGAGATCCAACTTGATTGACTCATCCACGAGGTTAGTTTTATTCCATTCAGGAACAGGCAACATTAGTTTTATTACAACTTACTCTTTCCCCTGACAGCTGACAAATTTCTTCCAATGATAATTGCACGAACTATAATTTCAGAAAAGGGGAAATAAAAACAATCATGCATCTTAGAAAGAATTGTAATACTCAATATGATCTTCCCAAGACCCCTATCGAGTCCACTTCCATCCCTTCTTACTATCTTGTGCTTACATTCTCATTAACATGCCTTCTTGCTGGAACATTGCTTCACATATACCATGCCTTTGTGCCTTGGTCCTTCTTGCACTTCTTTCTGCCAGAACTCTGCTCTTGACTGACTTTTGAGTTCCTCTTGCACATCACTTCCTCTTCAGATCCTTTCCTGGACATATCACCCAACCTTTGGAACCCCTTCACTGGGGCCCAGTTACCCTCAGTACATCTGCTCGGGGCAATTCATACCACAAGGGTTTACCACCAATTCACCTGTCCATCTCCTTCTTTTTCTGTTATGACCCTCAATATAATCCAGAGCTCAGTGCTAATTTATTCATAACGAATGTTTGATGGGGAAAACCTCTAACATCTTAGAGCTGATGAAATTCTATCAGGTACATAAAGAGGATGTACCCAGTGCTTCATTTCTAGCTGAACTTGGGGCTAAACCAAAGCTGCAAAGCAAAGCTTTTTTGAAAAATAACTTTAAAAAAATGTATCTCAAATTTCCAATGAGCAATACAAAAATTATTAGACCTTCCAGCTTTCTCTTTTAAGACCTTATACAAAAGTTGCCTAAAATGATTCAACAAAAACTTGTAGACTGTTTGGATAGTTTTATTCAGCACTTGGGAGATTTAGGAAAAAGGGTCTTGAGTTTGAGACCAGCCAGCAGCATCCTGTAAAAACCAAACAAAACTTTATTTTATAAAGGAGGAAGCCTGGAAAAATAGGTCAGTTGAAAAGTTCTTGCACGTGGGGGCTATGCACTTACAGTCCCAATTCTAAAAAGGAAGAGACAAAGGGATTTATGGGCTCCCTGTCTATTTAGCTGATCCCAGGCAGCCAGCCATAGGTCCTGGTAAGAGACCTTTTTTTTTTTTTTTAACTTATGAATGCTCAACCTTAGCTTAGCTTGTTTCTAGCCAGGTTTTCTTTTTATTTATTTATTTATTTATTTATTTATTTATTTATTTATTTATTTATTTTTATTTTATTTTATTTTTCTTTATTAAGAAATTTTCTACTCACTCCACATGCCATCCACAGATCCCCCCTCCTCCCTCCTCCCACTCCCCAGCCCTCTTTCCCAAGCCACCCCACATCCCCACATCCCCAAAATCGAGGTCTCCCATGGGGAGTCAGCAAAGCCCAGCTCACTGAGCCTAGCACAGCCTTGGTGCAGTGGGAAGAGACCCTTTCTTAAGCAAAGGAAGGTGGGTAGCACCTGAGGAACAATAACTGAGGTTAACTTCTGTTGTTTACAAGCACATATGCACACATAAACACATACAAACCAAATAAGCAAAAGCAATCAATCCATGCTCACATATGATATCTTAATCTTGAATTCTAAGAAGCCTTATACTGACTTAAACACTGACTGCCTAAATAAGTTAGCCATCGTTATGCTTGTGAACTCAGTAATAAACAGCCACCACTGAATAGTTCTGCTGCCTGTCTCCCACTCCCCCTACATTAGTTTGAATACATCCCTATTGAAAAGGTCTGTGAATACATGGTTTTGATGATCAGTTTGTGATATAGCTCATTTAAAAAAATGAAGGACAAAGTTGTCCACCCTTATCCTTGTCATGTGTCTTTAGTGAGTGTGTGTTTTCTGCAGCATGCACAAATAATTGCCAACCCCAAAAGTCTCATGGGACACAATTGTCACCTTAATAAAGAAATGAAAAGGTACAGTTTTCTATGGGAAACCACATTCATGACCTGCCCCCAGAAGATAATTTCTAATTGTTTTTGTGTGTTAGTGCAATGGAATCACTTTCCCTGAGTGTCACCCCAGAGAAGCTCTACTGTACATCATTGTCAACTGCTAGACAAATCTCCCTAATAAGGGGGAGGAGATACACAATGGTGGTCATTCTCAGCAAATAAAAAGCTGACTACCTGTTCAGCTTCCCAACTGATGCTTACAGGGAGACATTCAACTCAAAATTGCTGGAGAATTTCCTACACAAGGAGATTAAAATCTTATAATTTTAGAAAAATTATTTGAAATCATTTTTTATATATTTTATTGACTGAACGGTTGACTTGAATTTCCAGGCCAATGTCTTCTTGTTATCACGTCATACATGAAAACAGCAAAACTCACTTATTATCTAAAAGCTAGACTTCTTGTGTATTGAACTTCAAGGTGATTTAGGTATCTGTTCAAAATCACATTTATCAAACTAGTTTGAATTATGGAGCATTAGCTTCACAAGGAAATAATATAAAGAAAGAAATAAAAGACTATTGGGTTGGCAAAGCATTGATGGCTTATCTAAGAATGCTAGGATTAATAGTCACAGTCTGCTCCACAAAAGGGAAGAAAAATGAAATAATTGGCAAGGGAGATATTAAAGTTGTTGGCCCAATTTCAAATGCAATGGGCAGAAAAATTATTTTATACTTTATTTTTTCAGACATGGGCCTCATTTTGACATTTACATTTTAGACAAATGCAAACTCTAAAATTCTTGAAATCAATATTTTATATCCACTCTGACAGCATTTTCCTTTTGAAAACATAGCAGAGGGTATTGTTTTACATTGGAATCTCTATGAACTAGGCACATGCCTATTGACACTTGGCATTCACTTGCATAAAATCACACTGAGCAAAAGTTAATTTCTCTGTGAGCATTCATAGCCTTCAAGATAACTTTTCAGAAAAATTTCTTTGTTAGGAAATTTAAATTCATTTTATAAATGTATATGTATTTTCCTAACTGTCTGATTATGGAACACAAAGAAACTCTGGTTTTGCATCTCACATTAGCAGATGGTGGACAGATGGTTTAAATTAATATTAATTTTGGAAAACTTAGCTTAAATTGTTTATGCTGAAGATTAAAAGTTGGAAAGCCAGCTAAAATCTCCAGGGTTATTGGTACTTCCAAACCAACTTGAAAAGTAAAATCAGAAAACCAAAACGTCCAGTTCTAAAGCGATCTGCATGTCCTTCAGAAGGGGTGAAGGTAAAAGGCAAGGACGCGATGTCTTGTTGGGGAAGAAAACTAAAATTGGAATAAGGAAGAAAAGGTACAGACCCTAGAGCTAAAAGTTACTTTGGACTTCTCCATGATGGTCCTTTAAAAGAATTCACTACAAAGACTTGAGAATGTTCAGTTGGTACTGTGCCAGTTAATTTCACAAGAATAAGAACCTGATTTTGGACCCCTTGCACCAGCACAGAAGCCAGTGATGGATGAGTGTGTGTGTAAGTGTGTGGAGACAAGCAGATTCCCTGGAGCTCACTGGCCAGCCAGCCTCGCTGAGTCGATGAGCCCCAGGTCCAGTGAGAGATCTTGTCTCAAATCATAAGATGGAGAGTGGTTGAGGAAGACAACTAGTGTTTGTGTCTGTGCTCCGTGTGAACATGTACTTGCACAAATACATGCACACACCCACACAACACCCCAACAGCAGACATGTGCACACACACGACCTGAGACAAACAACTACTTTCTTTATGAATGTATTAATAGGGGCCTGGTTCAAAGGGTAAACGTGGCAGGCACAGTCCAACACACACACACACACACACACACACACACACACACACACACACACACACACAATGAGAGGCAAAGAAGAGAAAATTGCCTGGTGGCCCATTGGCCTTGGGTATATAGCACAATAGCAGAAGCAACAAGGTGAAAGGTCAAAACCAACTTCCCAAAGTTGTCCTCTGGCTTTCACAGGCACAGCGTGGCACACGCACCGCCATAGCACTTGTGCACCTGCACACCAGACAGCACACACATGATTAGTTTTTACAATATGTTAAATTTGTTTGCTGACTTGAACCAATTATTTCATATTCCCTGTTTATATTTTTATTTTTATTATATTTTTATTCCCTGTTTATATTATATTAAAAGCCTGATGTTTTCTTCTGATAGGGGGAAGTTAAAGAGGAAGGGAGAAAATTAAGAAGAGACAGAGAGAGAAGAGGGGGGAGAGGGGGAGGGAGAGAAATAATAAGAATGTGTCTATTTCTAATGACTTGGAGACAGAGCAGAAATCAGTATTTATCAGGCCTCTACTTCAAAGGCCAAGTTGTAATGGCTGATATTGCCTGGGCTGATATATATATATATATATATATATATATATATATATATATATATATATATATATATATATATCTTTGGATTTAGATGAATGTAAAAAAAATTGATAAAAAATTCAAAATATTTCCCCAAAATTGTTATACAAATTAAATCTTGTATATATTCTCTGTATTTTTGATACTAATTTAAAAGCATCCTATTAATATTTAACAAAACTCCTTCATTTGGGAAGAAGGATGCATAAATCATCACCTGTGAAAATACACAGCTTTGCCTAAAATTATCTCTTTTGAAAAATGAGAAAATTGACTCCTGCATCCCCGATTATTTGTTAGGCAGATGCTGGCCGTTTTAATTAAGTTATAACAATAAAGCAAGTGATTTAAAGTGCCCAAATCCAATGTGGTCCTTTTTGCTGTTCCTGAGACAAAACAAAGAATGAATGAGAACAAAACTGTGCTTCCTTTGTAGAAGGCAGCGTTGTATCCAACCAGAATGAGCAACAGGCTCTCCCTCACTTCTGTCTCGCCTTGCTCAGTGAAATGAATCAAGGGGAAATGGAGTGGATAAAAGTCACTGTAAGGAAAATGAATCACATCATATATATTCACATATATATTTAACACTTAAGCTGTATTTTTTAAATTGCCAAATAAAAACACATTTATACTGTCTCTAGGATTTGGTTGACAATGATTCCAAATCTTTATCTAAAATGTCTTGTACCAATATGATTAAGTTTTACAAACACATTTGGAATTACCATAAATCGCAATTGGAAGTTTTTCATCTAAGAAAGCTACACACAGAGAGAGAGAGAGAGAGAGAGAGAGAGAGAGAGAGAGAGAGAGAGAGA